TCAAATAAAAGGTGACATTATGTACTGTCACCGCATATGAAACATTTGATCTCAAATCCAAAATGCTAGAGTATAAAGACAAATGTAAAATGTTTGCTTCACTGTCACCTTTTATTTGAGGGTACAGTAAAGCAAACAGTCCGTGTTATTTCTTTATCTGCTGTAATGAAAACATTGAATAAGGCCATGCATGCACTGAGTCGATATTGTTATTGATTCTTTGAGTCTGGTTTTTAGATTGAGACCCAGCTCAAAATTCTGAATCAATGTAACTTTTTGCATCTATATCTAATGTGCATCTATATCCATCATGGATCTCTGCAACACATAGACCTAGGCTACCTACCTGTTTATCCTCAATGATGCAGATGGATTATTTACACAGATGTTGCAGCCAAGCTGGCTGAATATACTAAGTCAGTGACATTACCATTAGTGCTGTCATTAGCTCTATAGATCAAATAGATATTCATATGGGCTGGTTCTGGTTTTTCAGCTCAGCAAAGTCATGAGGCAGGTTAGACACAGACTGGCAGCCTGTCAAAAGAATGTGGAACGGGTCTCCAACCAGAGATGTGAGTTTACACTGTTCCTTTCTAACTGGCCAAAGTCAGTTTTGACAAAAATATCAGATAACCATAGAATTTGAATAATTGTATTCTACCTCCATGAATTTCTCATTATTTTTCTATGGATATAACGTTATAATTCTGAGCTCCCAATTGCAGGAGTACTGTATTTACTACAAGATTTATCTCAATGTGAGTAAAAATAAATATTTTGCTTTCTAACTCAAAACAGAAACCTGTATCTTGGGTGACCAGAGCAGAGGAGGATCATGAAGAAGAAGAAGAGGAGGAGGAGGAGGAAGATATTCGTTTGATTGGGCAACACAACTCACCTCTTCAGAACTTTGATCCTCACGAGGGTCACAGGAGCAAGGCTGTCACCTTTGACAACAATCCGGTCGGTCACCACAACTATGCTCTTTTTAACACTTCTCCAATTTCCTAACACTCCCATTTCCCCAAACCACATACAGTCCTGTAAGGCACATGCTTATCCTAACATTCCCTTAGTCAAGCAATAGCGATTTGTGTTTGTTTATCAGTTTATATAATTTCCTTTGTAACTCCAACTAAATTACCCTAAAGGTTGAATCTTACGTAATGCAGAACAAGAGGTGCTCAACTCTTCTGTAAATTAGTCTTTGGGTGCTGTTGCCCAGGTGTCATCCGACTTGTATGAAAAATACTGCTTTAATGCTAAAATGCATCTGTGACTGCTGATAATCAATCTTACATACCTGTGTGTGTGTGTGTGTGTGTGTGTGTGTGTGTGTGTGTGTGTGTGTGTGTGTGTGTGTGTGTGTGTGTGTGTGTTGCAGGTGTGTGAGAGGCTCTTTGGAGAGCCTTTTCCTGCAAATCATAGTTTTGGGTTTAGTACTGACTATAGAGCTACTCAAGTGCTCTGGCACCAAGAAGACCAGGAAGAACTGAAGAGACAGGTGGTAAAAATTGGAACTACATTACAGGGTTCTAGTGTTTATGAATATACAACCGGCCCTTCCAAGATGGCCACCAAATAATCTTTATGAGTGACCATATTTACACACAGCCCTCCACCAAATCCCCCCTTTAGAGATGAATTACTACTGCATGACACACAATGATTTATGCAGTACAGTGGCTCAGTGGATTTTAAGCACAAAAAGTACAACCACATATTTTCAAGACGCATCATTTCAACTAGTGAGCATTTAGTAAAATATTTTCTTAAAACTTTGGTCTCTGCGTCTTTCAATTACATTAATATGCTAGAACATAATTTTTCTCCATATGCATATTTTATATAATTTTACCCATTGACACCAAAAAACTACTTCACGTTAACTCTAACAATGCTTGTTTGTAGCGTCAGTCTCAGTTTCTGATGTACCGACGCCTATTCATGGACATGAAGGAGCATCAGAGACACAGGAAGCACCTGAGAAGAATCGCAAGGTGGTTCGGCACAACCACAAACTCATTTTAGTTTTACTCATCACTTCCTCTTCTGGATATAATCTTCCTGTTTGATCCATATGTGGTTTTCAAAAAAACGAGTCACTATTAGTAATCTGTGCTGTCACATTTGTGTTGATATCAGGGTTGGGGTACATCTCATTTAAATTCAGTCAAATATAAACCAGAAATTCCAAATATCTCATAGCTTTTCCTATTTGAATTTCAGTACTTGTTTAATTAAAATGGAATTGAAGCCAACCCTGATTCATACTCCTTCAACATGTTCTCTTCAATAGAATGGATAAAATGTTTTCTTAAAGTTAAACAATGTAGAGAACAGTGACATTACATCCCATTGCAAAGTAAGGACACATTTTAATGAAGTCTGAATTTCCTTTTCCACTGTAGGATAAAAGCAGCAAAAGAACCGAAGAGGTTGGAGGAGGAGAGGAAGATGGAGAGACTGCGGCAGCTGGAGGAGGATAGATTGGAAATGACTCAGAGGGAATTTCTGATTCTGGAGCGACTGAGGCTTGAAAAATAGGAGAGGGCAGAAGTGTTGGAGAAGAAGGAGAGAGCAAAGAAAGATAAAGAAGGCACCAGGTAACTTTATTAATCAATACGATGTGAAATTAAATGGGCTAGATAAGGCCCAGAATGATTGGGCATGGGCCCACCCACTGAGGAGCCAGTCCCAGCCAATCAGAATACGCTTTTCCCCACAAAAGGGCTTTATTACATAAATAAATACTCCTCAGTTTCATCAGCTGTCCGGGTGGCTGGTCTCAAATGACCCTGCAGGTGAAGAAGCTGGATGTGGAGGTCCTGGGCTTTCGTGGTTACACATGGTCTACGGTTGTGAGGCCGGTTGGACGTACTGCCAAATTCTCTAAAACAACGTTGAAGGTGGCTTATGGTAGAGAAATTAACATTACATTCTCTGGCAACAGCTTTGGTGGACATTCTTGCAGTCCAGCATACCAATTGCACGCTCCCTCGAAACTTGAGACATCTGTGGCATTTTAGAGTGGCCTTTTATTGTCCCCAGCACAAGGTGCACCTGTGTAATGATCATGCCGTTTAATCAGCTTCTTGAAATGCCACACCTGTCAGGTGGATGGATTATCTTGGCAAAGGAGAAATGGTTTTTGTGCGGATGGAACATTTCTGGGATCTTTTATTTCAGCTCATGAAACATGGGACTTTACATGTTGCGTTTTATATTGTTGTTCAGTATATAATCTCCATTGAAAGTACTTTTTAGTCCAGGAATAATATGACTCCAGGAAACCAGCCCTAAATGTGTTTGTGCTGGTGAACATAGAGAATAAGACCCTGTGTCCCAGCCTGTGTTGTGCATGTTAATTGTGTAACAAGTTGGGTCTTCCTATTACAGTATACATAGTGTACAAAACATTAGGAACACCTGCCCTTTCCATAACAGACTATCCAGGTGAAAGCCATTATCCCTTATTGATGTCACTTGTTAAATCTACATCAATCAGTGTAGATAAAGGGGAGGAGACAGATTAAAGAAGGATTTTTAAGCCTTGAGACAATTGAGACATGGATTGTGTATGTGTGCCATTCAGAGGGTGAATGGGCAAGACAAAATATTTAAGTGCCTTTGAACAGGGTATGGTAGTAGGTGCCAGGCGCACCGGTTTGTGTCAAGAACTGCAACACTACTGGGTTTTTCATGCTCAGCAGTTTCCCGTGTGTATCAAGAATGGTCCACCACCCAAAGGACATCCAGCCAACTTCACACAACTGTGGGAAGCATTGGAGTCAACATGGGCCAGCATCCCTGTGGAATGCTTTCCACACCTTGTAGAGTCCATGCCCCAACGAATTGAGGCTGTTCTGAGGGCGAAAGGGGTGCAACTCTATATTAGGAAGCTGCTCCTAATGTCTGGTACACTCAGTGTATATTATTCCATTCCTATGGAAAAAGAGTGGGCTGAAAATGTTGTCCGCTGGTTTATTTCCTATAAAATGGGGAAAGAGTGACTTTTGTCCTAGACCAGAGACCTATGATTAAATTGGTATTTTTTTATCTCAAGGTATTACTAATGTGTTATTCATTGCATTGTGTGGGTGATTTGTCACAATGTTTCCTATAGTGGTTAGATGAGTGAATGTATGTTTTAGTTTGAACCAAAACATCATATGAAAGGCCAATGTGGGTATTGATGAAACATTGTCCTTTTCAGCACGGTTTTCAACATTTTTCAATCTGTAATTTTAGCGGAGCATAATTTTACATTTCAAACATATTGATGTCTTTTCATTTTCTGATGTAGGTAGGCTGTACCAAATTTGATAGACAGAAGACAAAGCATCGTTCTCTGTAGCGGTGGTACAGTACTCGAAGAGTTAATCAGTCTTCGCTCCTTTAATGCCGTGACGTCAGATACGGGAATCACATGTCCACACACTTCCGAATATCTGTTTTGGTGCGGCGGGTGGGTTTGGAAAAGATTAGGGAATGGCTACCCTTGAACTATTATGGACAGAATCCGTAAACATGTGGACTAACGTGCATGTGACACGGTAGAGAAGTGCATAGAGTATTTATAGGAACCGGCTTTTATAACGCTATCAGCGGGCTCAAGCGTGCATGGAAATCTATGGGAATTCATTGTTTGCGGAGATTCACCCATCAACAGGAAGTAGGAATAGCCTAGCGACTGAAGCTGTTTTGATCAGTGCGCTGATTTTATTATTTATATTTTAAATGAATACACTTTAAACCAAAAAAAGAAAGAAACCAGTGTTAATAATCAAAGTGGGAAAAATATCGATGGAATATTGTAACTAAAAATGAAAAGTCATAGGAGCTCGAACCTGTGTGAGAAGCTGTTTTAAAGTCCCATGTATCGATTTTCAGTTTGTTTTCTTGCTGGTTTTAGATATGTTTGTAGTACTATTTTTTTAACAGACAATATATCAATTGGATGTATAGAAGGCGAACGAACTATAACTTTTGATGCCATGTCTGAGAGAGAATTGTAAGCAGTTTTAACAAGTTTTACGAAGGTAGAAGACCTCCACCAAATATGAGGTCTTCTTTGGCTCCTGGCATCCGACTGATCACGTCCTTCTCAAGAGACAGCGGGTAAGTTTCTACTATCTTTGAATTCTGTTGTGTGTGTGACACCCTTTATGCAAACAAAACTATTGCATTGTACAGTATGTAGGTTGATGATGGGGGAGGGGAACAGCTGTTTTGTCGCCAATCAGCTAGAAGTCAATGATTGGCTAGACATGAGGCTGCAACCTGGTCTCAGAGCATTTCGTATTATTCTGTATGTACTTTCGAGAATCCCATTTAGTATGATATGTTTCGTATGATATGTATTAATTTGTGGATATCCATCAACCATTTCGTACATGTTACGAATTTGCACAATGTACAATATGTTACGAATTTGCAAAACATATAATATGTGACGAATTTGCGAAATGTATGAAATGTTACAGATTCTAATTTGTTGTGGTTAATGTTAGCTAGGTGGCTAACGTTAGCTAGGTTAGGGGTTAAGTTTAGGGTTCAGGAGCATCATGGCAAAAACTGGAGGACTGGCCAAGTGCTATTACCCCAGACCATCAGGCTGCTGAATAGCCACAACTAGTCAGCTACTTGCTCCCCAACCCAGGCTGGAGGCATTGATTTGGGGACATTCTATGCACTACTGACATTCTAAGATGGGTAGAATGTTAGGAATTAAAGGTTTGTCAACCGTCTAGATTTCCATTGTGTTTCATTAACATTGGCGACTCGTCATTTTGAACTCACCTGTTTAGCTAAAAAATATATATGTCACAAATTGTGTGTGCCTGTTTTTCATGTTATTTTGCTATTGAAAGAAAATGATCATTGAGTTAATAAAGCCGTATACAAACATGGTCTCTTTTTTGCTTTCTTGAGTAAAGCAGCTCCAAAATACAGGTGTTTCAGCCTAGCTCAGTGCTTTCTGTGGTGGTGGGGCAGCCAGTGGAAAATAGTGTAGGGGTTGGTAATGTTACCTAGACAGTGTTCTGTCACTCATGGGACACTACGTCACCGCAAAATCTACGGGGAGAGCTCGAAAATTCAAGCCCCTTGGGTGCTGCCATAGAGTTACGTTAGAAGTGCCCATCCAAGAAGGCTCAAGGTCATCGGCCACAGATAAAATGACGTCAAATCACGTTATATCTACCGTAGCTTTGATTGGACTGATCATGTCAACATCATACTTTCAAAATCTTAGCTAGCAACCTAGCAGTCGTCATCATCATGAATCAAGATGACAATCTACTGGCAAATCCTTTTCAATCCTTGTTATATGAAGATAAATTATAGATGAAACGTATCGGTGCTCATCGGCCATTGGACATAAACATTACACAACAAGTTGGAAATCGCAAATTCAACAATGAGTGGTTTGGAAGGAATCAGTGGCAAACTGCAAGCGTTGCAAAGCCATCACTAGCCTGCTATTCAGTGCAGTGGGTGTGTGGTCCAAGTCTGGTTTTAAGGGTATCTTTTCCAAGCTTAAAAGGATAAACATTCAACATTGGCCATGCTGTCAATCCAGCATGACTTCTGCCGCGTTCAAAACAACTGGAAACTCAGAACTGGGAAATCTCAGATTTCAGTGAGTTCAAGACAACTGGGAACTCGGTTAAAAACAAGTTCCGACTGGGAAAATACGCTTTGAACGGTCATCTAACATGGAATTCCAAGTGGGAACTCGGGCCTCTTTCTAGAGCTCCGACCTGAAGATCACTGACGTCATGATTTTACCTTGTTTTTTTCCGAGTTCCCAGTTGTCTTGAAAGCACCATAAATCCAGAGAATGCCAGACTTTTACAAAATTTGCCCACGAAGGACCGCCACGTCACCTTCCTGTTCAAGTGAGCACACAGCACAACAAGGTGAGCAAAAATATATAAGTTATGCTGCTGCATAAATTATGTAATATGCCAGGGAGATGTGTGTATACTGTAGCTAAGAAAGTAATACTAAGTGTATGTTGTGTAGTAAGCTGTTAGTAGCCCATGTGCCTCACCCTTTTCCCCTCATGACTTAGCCTACTGTTCTGACTTGGTGGTGCACATGTAGCCTATAGCCTGTTTTAGAGAAATGTCGTCATCGAATATTGTAAGAGCTTTTTATTTATCCTGTGGTTCTGACTTGGTGTACAGGGAGAATAATGTAAAAACGGCCCATGTTCTGAATTCTGTCGCTGTACATTTCAAAAGTGCTGAACAAATAGTTATATTGACTTTGTCCGTCCTAGCTCCCTCATTAAAGTCTTAATTGAAATGATGGATTGCCTCTTATCCGCTCGTCGTCCCCTTATGCCATAGTTAGTACATCTCAATTGTCATTAGAAACCACATTTGTTTAAGCAAGTCAGCTATTTCAGCTATGTTTTTTTTTAAAGGCAGTAAATGAGGCTGAATGAACTGTTTCCCTGCCAGACAAGGCTCAGCTGATAGCCAGGTGTAGCAGTGGTAAGGTGTTGGGACAGCTTTATGTAGGCTCTAACAGTTTGTGGGCCTACATAAAATCGCCACTGTTCATTAGGTATAGTTATAACCAATGATATATATATAAACCCTGGACTGCTGATGCTATGTATTGGCCAATGAGAGGCTTTGAAGTCACCGGTCGGCCATATTGGCACTCCCCAGAAGAAGCAGTCCTCCATAGTCCATAGAAATGAATGGTATTCTACAGTATTTAAATTAAATGTTTCAAGGTCAAAATTATGTGTATTTAAAGGTGCAATATGTAGAAAGCGCACCGCCAGTTCCTGGTTGCTACAATTCTAATAGTTTGCTTGTTTTGTCACAAACTGAAATTAGCCAATGTATAGTGTAGTGAATCATTGTACCATTTAAACCGCTATTAAATGTATTTTCCATAACCAAAAATGTGTTTTTAGCTGTTTGAAGCTGGTGTACACAACCGAAAGTAAAAGATGCAAAAACAAAACGTAAGAACGGGAAGCATAGAAATAGCGCACATAGAACGGATGTACCACTTCTTAGACGTGCTTTCAATGAGTGATATATCTATAACTCACATTTCTATGTGCATTTGGTTGGGTCGCCCCAAAACGTTACATATTGCAGCTTTAAGTATTGTGTTGTTGTAGTGGGGACATAAACCTTACAACTTTTTAAAAAAGTATACTTTAAAGCTGCAATATGTGAGAAATGTGAGTTATAGGTCTGTTTTTTGAAGACATCCTAGGCGAAGGCCATCTACACTGTTGGATTTCTACAACATTTCGTCAATCCACAAAACTTTCTGGATTATTGTTGTCACTGATCCAGTATGTTCCATAAACCTGACAAAATAGTCACACTTTGTCCTAGATTTTGTCAGTCAAACTGTAAAGGTCACAGCAGGTTTGGTCTTGCGCACAACACTTCCTCCCGAATGTCTGTGTCCGAAATGGCATCCCATTCCCTATGTAGTGACTACTTTTGACCAAGGCCCTAGTGTACTACTTTTGACCAAGGCCCATAGCGCTCTGGTCAAAAGTATTGCACTAATAGGGTGTCGTTTTGGACGTATCTTATGTGTTGTGTGCAATTAGCCTGAGGATGAGGAGGTTACACCAGGTTCTGAGTGAGGTGTTAACTGTTACTAAAATATAACTTGGTGGTAAAACCTTCCTTTCCACTCCATGAAATGTAAACAGGTCAATACAGAGTGTGCACTGTGTGTGTGGTGTAGCTAGCTGCCTTCCTGTGCATCTCGTGTCAGCGAAGTCCCTGTACTGCTCCCTGCAGTGAATAACTCTTCTGAAATATCCTGTTTGTTTCCCACTAAAAAACAAGCCTATGTGTACTGTCTACTGTACAGACAAGACCATGTGAACAATTGTTTTCTCTTCTCCTCTCCCTACCCGGTCCTATGAGACTAATATCCCATAATACGTAGGCCCTGTAGACCTCTAGTCTAATCTAGATAATGTATAAGAGACTGTCCATAAAATTGGTGTGCTTTGACTTACAAAGATGAGGTTGTTAATGGCATGGTATTTGCTTTGGACAACATTAGAATGATCTCTTTTTCTAATCTCTGTGCAGGTACAGGGGTTTCACCCTCTTCCTCACTTTTCTCTTCTATACCAGCTACCATCTCTCCCGGAAACCCATCAGCATCGTCAAGGTGATACACTGACTTCACAAACCTGTATGAAACGTTATCTTAATGTAAGGCCACACTGTTCAGCTCTATATTGTAAGATCTCTATGTGTTCTAGGCCACAAAAGCCCTAGAACACTCAAGTTACACTACAATAGTTAACATAGTCATTTTTGAGAAAGTTATATGATAGTGGCTGTCTTTGTTTCGAGACGTTTAAGCTGGTTGTGTCTTGAAGGCTGAGTGTTTTCTGTCCATGTGTGTAATCTCTGGTTATTGCTTCATGTATATACAGAGTGAGCTGCACAAAAATTGTTCCACCCTCATTCGGCCACCAAACCTCAACGGAACTGACAATGAAACCTGGTGTGACTGGGCGCCATTTGGTGAGTCCTCTGCTTGACTCGACTTCTTCGTTCATTTTAAGAAGGAATAGGCTTCCAAAACATTTCCAAAGTGTTTCTGAGTGCTTCCAAAACGAATATATAGAAAGCACACTATGTCAGTAGAATTAATCAGTTGTCATGTCGCTGGTTAAGCATTGGGACAGCAGATTTCATTCAGACATTTTCTATGCCATCTTGTTTTGTCCAGACCAGGACAACTACCAGACGCTGTTTGGAGCCGTGGACAACTCTTTCCTGGTTGCTTATGCCATTGGCATGTTTTTCAGGTAGGCAGAATTATGTAAATTATATGATTGTGTTGTTTTGTGGGTGTGCATGCTTGCGTGTGTATTAAACCTCACTACAAGGAGTTAACCAGATGATGTGTTGTGTGTTTTGACAGTGGGATATTTGGTGAGCGTGTGCCCTTGCGCTACTACCTGACCACTGGGATGCTTCTCAGTGGTCTCTTCACATGTCTGTTTGGCCTGGGCTTCTACTGGAACATCCACTCCATATGGTACTACGCCTTTGTCCAGGTAAGGGTTAAATCTCCAAAACCATTGTCACTCGCTCACACCCTGCAGCATAGTCACCTTTGAATTCAGGCCCGACCTGGGGCATGTTCATAAGAGTTTGCAACTGAAACATTTTGTAACGGGAAAACAAAAACATGGTGTCTTATTGCACAAGTCCAGGTAGACCCTCTCTGTTTGTCAGTTGTCTTGCGTTTCGTGCCTAATGAACACGGCCTGGTACTGAAAAACAACAGTTTGAAGTTCATTATGAAAAAAGTTATATTTGATCAAATCTTTGGCCACACTCTGTATACAGGGCCTTGTGTATGCATGCACATTTATGAGTTTTCCTATCTGAGCATATGCAGCAACAAAACAACATGGGTTGTAAAAGGAAAATCTGATAAAAGTTGGCATGGGGGCTTTAGGCACTATCACATGACAGGTCAGCAGTATCATATGATGCTGAGAGTGTGAGGGAGGCTGAGGGATTGTTTCCATGCCAGTGCTTTTGTCAAGGCTGTGTGTGAGAATATGATGGTGTGGGTAACCGGCCCACCCCCCTTTTTCTTTTTCCTGTGTCTTTGTTTGTATCTCGCTCTCTCATGGGGATACAAAACGTATCTCTCTCTCCGTCTCTTTTTCTCTCATCGGGTTGGGGTATAGGGGCATATTTAATGTTGAAATAAAAATCTAAATCTCCCTCTCTTACTTCCCTAGGCAATGAATGGACTGGTGCAGACAACTGGCTGGCCTGCAGTGGTGGCCTGCGTTGGGAACTGGTTCGGAAAGGGGAAGTGAGTGAGACATATCCTTACTCCAGACCGGTTCAGCAATGCTGACTACACAGTATCAGTACCCCATTTTCCATATAGTGTAGGGTATCTTTTTTTTAATCAAGGTCAGTCACATTATGTTAAATTAAAAACAGTACTCTCCGGTCAGGGCCTTTGTTGGAACAGGTTTGAGTGTAATGAGTGTTTGGAAATTCAAAATAGGAACAATTTACAGATGTCCAGTTTCCAATTGAGCATTTTACTGCCGAAAGCTGTCCTCAGTATTTAGTACCGGTATGTTGAATGAATTGAATGTTTTAAGTATATATCGAATTCACTCCAATATATTCTGTATGTCCAAGAAGTGTCCCTATAAGTTAAAGTAAGCAGGCTCACTGTCTCACTGTTCACTGTCAAGATATACAATGTTTCTAAACCCACCTCTTTCATGTCCATCCCATCTGTGTGTGTCTGTCCCTCGCCCTCCAGACGAGGGTTCATCATGGGCGTGTGGAACTCCCACACCTCGGTAGGCAACATCCTGGGCTCGCTTATCGCCGGCATATTTGTGTCCTCGGCCTGGGGCATGTCCTTCATCGTGCCCGGCATCATTATCGCCTCTACGGGCGTGCTCTGCTTCTTCTTCCTGGTAGAGAGTGAGTGTGACCTTTGACCTCTAGGTCTGTATTCTAGTCTCATTAGTAGGAGTGCTGATCTAGGATTAGATTTGCCTTTTAGTTTATAATGAATGGACAGATGGGACCTGATCCTAGATCTTACTTTGAGATGCTTTATGAATACGGTCCCAGATCTTGTTCAAAACATGTCAACATGCCCATATTGCTGACTGCATAAACCACTACGACCTATTGAAGCTTGATACTGTAGATCAGAGTGAAAATGAAATGGTATATAATGTTCATTGCTATTATAAAGTTATTATGGAGGATACGGTTTTATTAACCTAGTTTGAAAATGGATCATCTTGCGTTCTCAGACAGCATTTCAGAGTTTCTACTCTGCAGGCATTTCATCTTAAACATAGACTGTTCTCATGTAGACATATAAAATAAGAATAGGCTTGTCCCAAGACTGTATTTTGACATGAAAATGGATTTGTGAGCACAACCTTTTTTCTGTCACAGAACCAGAAGATGTCGGCTGCAGCCCTCCGCAGCACCATGTAAGTATAACCAAAGAACATATGAAGTAATGGGTGCCCTTAGTAGTATAGAGAAGGGCTGCCTTGCTCAAGGGCAGTAGGTGTAGGTGGCACCTGAGATGTGATACCTGCCCTGCTTCTCTAACCTCTAGGCTACCAGCTACCCCCAGATTATGATCTGATTTTGTTTTGACCAACGTTTTGTCATGATATTATTTCCCTTTCTTTCGAAAGACTTTATATTATAGAGTACTAGAAGACATGTTAGACAGACTATACATAAAACATACACTACCGTTCAAAAGTTTGGGGTCACTTTGAAATGTCCTAGTTTTCGAAAGAAAAGCAATTTTTTTGTCCATTAAAATGACATCAAATTGATCAGAAATGCAGTGTAGACATTGTTAATGTTGTAAATGGCTATTGTAGCTGGAAACAGCTGATTTTTTAATGGAATATCTACATAGGCGTACAGAGGCCCATTATCAGCAACCATCAGTCCTGTGTTCCAATGGCACGTTGTGTTTGCTACTCCAAGTTTATCATTTTAAAAGGCTAATTGATCACTAGAAAACCCTTTTGCAATTATGTTAGCACAGCTGAAAACTGTTGTGCTTACAGTGGGGGAAAATGTATTTAGTCAGCCACCAATTGTGCAAGTTCTCCCACTTAAAAAGATGAGAGAGGCCTGTAATTTTCATCATAGGTACACGTCAACTATGACAGACAAATTGAGAGAAAAAAATCCAGAAAATCACATTGTAGGATTTTGAATGAATGTATTTCCAAATTATGGTGGAAAATAAGTATTTGGTCACCTACAAACAAGCAAGATTTCTGGCTCTCACAGACCTGTAACTTCTTCTTTAAGAGGCTCCTCTGTCCTCCACTCGTTACCTGTATTAATGGCACCTGTTTGAACTTGTTATCAGTATAAAAGACACCTGTCCACAACCTCAAACAGTCACACTCCAAACTCCACTATGGCCAAGACCAAAGAGCTGTCAAAGGACACCAGAAACAAAATTGTAGACCTGCACCAGGCTGGGAAGACTGAATCTGCAATAGGTAAGCAGCTTGGTTTGAAGAAATCAACTGTGGGAGCAATTATTAGGAAATGGAAGACATACAAGACCACTGATAATCTCCCTCGATCTGGGGCTCCACGCAAGATCTCACCCCGTGGGGTCAAAATGATCACAAGAACGGTGAGCAAAAATCCCAGAACCACACAGGGGGACCTAGTGAATGACCTGCAGAGAGCTGGGACCGAAGTAACAAAGCCTACCATCAGTAACACACTACGCCGCCAGGGACTCAAATCCTGCAGTGCCAGACGTGTCCCACTGCTTAAGCCAGTACATTTCCAGGCCCGTCTGAAGTTTGCTAGAGTGCATTTGGATGATCCAGAAGAGGATTGGGAGAATGTCATATGGTCAGATGAAACCAAAATAGAACTTTTTGGTAAAAACTCAACTCGTCGTGTTTGGAGGACAAAGAATGCTGAGTTACATCCAAAGAACACCATACCTACTGTGAAGCATGGGGGTGGAAACATCATGCTTTGGGGCTGTTTTTCTGCAAAGGGACCAGGACGACTGATCCGTGTAAAGGAAAGAATGAATGGGGCCATGTATCGTGAGATTTTGACTGAAAACCTCCTTCCATCAGCAAGGGCATTGAAGATGAAACATGGCTGGGTCTTTCAGCATGACAATGATCCCAAACACACCGCCCAGGCAACGAAGGAGTGTCTTTGTAAGAAGCGTTTCAAGGTCCTGGAGTGGCCTAGCCAGTCTCCAGATCTCAACCCCATAGAAAATCTTTGGAGGGAGTTGAAAGTCCGTGTTGCCCAGCGACAGCCCCAAAACATCACTGCTCTAGAGGAGATCTGCATGGAGGAATGGGCCAAAATACAAGCAACAGTGTGTGAAAACCTTGTGAAGACTTACAGAAAACGTTTGACCTGTGTCATTGCCAACAAAGGGTATATAACAAAGTATTGAGAAACTTTTGTTATTGACCAAATACTTATTTTCCACCATAATTTGCAAATATATTCATAAAAAATCCTACAATGTGATTTTCTGGAGAAAAAAAATCTCATTTTGTCTGTCATAGTTGACGTGTACCTATGATGAAAATTACAGGCCTCTCTCATCTTTTTAAGTGGGAGAACTTGCACAATTGGTGGCTGACTAAATACTTTTTTCCCCCACTGTATTAAAGAAGCAATAAAACTGGCCTTCTTGAGACTAGTTGAGTATCTGGAGCATCAGCAATTGTGGGTTAGATTACAGGCTCAAAATGGCCAGAAACAAATAACTTTCTTCTGAAACTCGTCAGTCTATTCTTGTTCTGAGAAATTAAGGCTATTCCATGCGAGAAATTGCCAAGAAACTGAAGATCTCGTACAACGCTGTGTACTACTCCCTTCACAGAACAGCGCAAACTGGCTCTAACCAGAATAGAAAGAGGAGTGGGAGGCCCCGGTGCACAACTGAGCAAGAGGACAAATACATTAGTGTCTAGTTTGAGAAACAGACGCCACACAGGTCCTCAACTGGCAGCTTCATTAAATAGATCCCGCAAAACACCAGTCTCAACGTCAACAGTGATCAGGCGACTCCGGGGTGCTGACCTTCTAGGCAGAGTTGCAAAGAAAAAGCCTCTCAGACTGGCCAATAAAAATAAAAGATTAAAGATGGGCAAATGAACACAGACACTGGACTTTTTCTTTGAAACTCTGCCTAGGTTTTTTCTCAACACTTTTTTGTTTTATTTTACTTTTTTATTTAAAAATAAATGCAATGTTGGTTAAGGGCTGTAAGTAAGCATTTCACAGTAATGTCTACACCTGTTGTATTCGGCACATGTGGCAAATAAAATTTTATTTGATGCTCTAGATACTCAACTAGTCTCAAGAAGGCCCGTTTTATTGCTTCTTTAATCAGCACAACAGTTTTCAGCTGTGCTAACATAATTGCAAAAGGGTTTTCTAATGATCAATTAGCCTTTTAAAATGATAAACTTGGATTAGCAAACACAACGTGCCATTGGAACACAGGACTGATGGTTGCTGATAATATGGGCCTATGTAGATATTCCATTAAAAATCAGCTGTTTCCAGCTACAATAACCATTTACAACATTAACAATGTCAACACTGTATTTCTGATCAATTTGATGTTATTTTAATGGACAAAAAAATTGCTTTTCTTTCAAAAACAAGGAAAGTGACCCCAAACTTCTGAACGGTAGTGTAGTTGTAGCCATGGTTAGAACAATGCTAATTGCTGTGTATGAGCAGGAGGACAACGAGAAGGAGCCTCTCTTACAAAACTCATCTAGTAACGAGGAGATCTTCAGCAGTCCTGGTCTGTCCAACTCTATCTCTTCCGAGGCGACAGAGGAGCACACCGAGGCCATCAGCTTCTGTGGGGCCCTCAGGATACCTGTGAGTGGTGATCACTATGTTACTTTAATTTCAATTATTTTCAATTTCAAGCTGTTTCATTTGCTTTCTGTTGTGACTCATGGTTAATAATTGCTCTCCAGACTCACGTGAATGCAGTAGGCTGTTTTAATGAGTTTATAAAAAAATAAAAAAAACATCTAATGGGGTAGAGCAGCTTTTTAAAATTGCAGATAGATTGTGGCATCAATCAATGTAATTGTCTGCATAATTTCCAATCCCCCATATATATATTATTTTAAATATATTTTCCTTCTTTATTATTTTCCCCTAACCCTTCCATCCCTCCCCTAATTGGAGTAAACTACACTGAACAAAACATAAACGCAACATGTAAAGTGTTGGTCCCATGTTTCATGAGCTGAAATAAATAAACAAATGCACAAAAAGTGTAATTCTCTTAAATGTTGTGCACACATTTGTTTACATCCCTGTTAGTGAGCATTTCTTCTTTGCCAAGATAATCCATCCACCAGACAGGTGTGGCATATCAAGAAGCTGATTAAACAGCATGATCATTACACAGGAGTACCTTGTGCTGGGGACAATAAAAGGCCACTCTAAAATGTGCAGTTTTGTCACACAACACAATGCCACAGATGTCTCAAGTTTTGAGGGAGCTTGCAATTGGCATGCTGACTGTAGGAATATCCACCAGAGCTGATGACAGATAATTGAATGTTCATTTCTCTACCATAAGCCGCCACCAACGTCAATTTACAGAATTTGGCAGTACGTCCGACCTGCCTTACAACCGCAGACCACGTGTATGGCATTGTGTCGGCGAGCAGTTTGCTGATGTCAACGTTGTGAACAGAGTGCCCCATGGTGGCAGTGGGGTTTGGTATGCGCAGGCATAAGCTACGGACAACGAACACAATTGCATTTTATCGATGGCAATTTAAATGCACAGAGATACTGTGACGAGATCCTGAGGCCCACTGTCATGCCATTCATCCGCCGCCAGCACCTCATGTTTCAGCATGATAATGCACGGCCACATGTCTCAAGGATCTGTACACAATTCCTGGAAGCTGGAAATGTCCCAGTTCTTCCATGGGCTGCATATTCACCAGGCATGTCACCCATTGAGCATGTTTGGGATGCTCTGGATCGACGTGTACGACAGCGTGTTCCAGTTCCCGCCAATATCCAGTAACTTCGCACAGCCATTGAAGAGGAGTGGGACAACATTCCACAGGCCACAATCAACAGCTTGATCAACTCTATGTGAAGGAGATGTGTCGCGCTCATAGTAAAATTAAGAATTAAAAAATTTGGCAAATGGTGACAGATTCTGACTGGTTTTCTGATCCACCCCATACCTTTTTTTTTTTTTAAAGGTATCTGTGACCAACAGATGCATATCTGTATTCCCAGTCATGTGAAATCCATAGATTAGGTCCTAATGATTTTTAAGTTGACTGAGTTCCATATATGAACTGTAACTCAGTAAAATCTTTGAAATTGTTGCATGTTGCATTTTATATTTTTGTTCAGTATAATTAAATATATTTTATTTATTATTTTCCCCTAACCTTACCACCCAATTGGAGTAAACTACAACAATACTTAGGCTTCCACTTCCAGTTTGTAAATATTACATACATTTCACGGACAGTATATTTTACATTAGTTATCTTTTGTTTGTTTTTAGTCCCAGCCTTCAGCTACCCTCAACCCCTCCCATGGATCTCTGAAGACCATCCAGTTTGGATTTATTGTTATGACAGTTGCTATGACTGCTCTGACCAGTGTGTAATATGTGTGTTATTATCTTACAGGGCGTAATGGAGTTCTCCCTCTGTCTGCTGTTCGCTAAGCTTGTTAGCTACACCTTTCTCTACTGGCTTCCTCTCTACATCTCTAACGTTGGTACGTACTCAGGTTAGCTCCTATTTGTTGACAGTTGTCATTTTCACCTGAGGGTTCAAATGCTAACAATGCTTATACGCTGATAATGATTTGCATTGCATTGTGAGATGGGCTGTTAGTTAATTTGGCATACTGTGTCGCTTAAAATTCCTAATGTTTATTTCCTCAGCCCATTTTGACCCCAAGGAAGCTGGGGACATGTCAACACTATTTGATGTAGGAGGAATTGTGGGTAAGCCTTAACAGTCGTGTGAATGACTTTATATGGAATTATGTAACCTTTATAGCCCAATAATCTGAGAGATCATATGAGGAACCAGGAAGCTCTTCTCTGATTGACCTGGATGTTTTGTCTACACTGTAGTCATAACAAGTGATAGACATAACGAGTGGTTTCTGCAGTCATCATAAAACAGAACATAGACATACAAAGTGATTTCTGCAGTCAGAAGAGTTCTCATTAGAATTGGTCAATGAATGGCTCCTACTGTATTGGTGTCTGAGCACTTACTATTGATCTTCAATGCAGCTCCTCAAAGGCTGAATATTTTCATATGATGTAGGACTGCTATCTTCCCCTACGTGTTAAGTCTGTGTTAAGCGTGTGTGTTGTGTGTCTGCAGGGGGCATCGTGGCTGGACTGGTGTCGGACCAAACTGGGGGCAGAGCCTCTACCTGCTGTGTCATGTTAATTGTGGCTGCTCCTATGGTGAGTGTTCATTCACACAAAAGACATCACTGGCTTTTACCATGTGTAACACCATGGACATTTCTAGTGTCTCTTTATTATAGTACATTTATGTCTCCTCTTTGAGTTGTAAATGTGGCATTCGAGAGTCATATCCACATCCCAAACTTTAGAAAACCAGTGCTGGGCTAAAATGTACTGTAGATCAAGAAAGGAAAGGCCCGCACAAAGGCCTCAATTACAAATGTGGACTGGACACACTTTATATTCACTAATGAAAATAGGAAATTCTCTCTGTCAATGTTTTGATCACATAATCACATATATGTCATGTAAATATGACTGCATGATGGACTCTGAAAAAGGAATTTGGCTGCGCTTGTTGCTCTGGAATTGGCAGTGAACTTCACCTGCTGCCCAAGCCCGAGAAACATTTCATGATAGGTTGCGAGTTCCTTGACAGTATTGTGTCAATCTGTTTTTCAGCATAGCTCAATGTTTTCCTTTGGGTCTACATGTGGGTTATTAAATCATGAGCAAATCCTTCAAGAGTGCCACCTTTTACCCCAAATCCAGTCTAAATGTTTGTTTTGCTTTCCTAGCTGTTCCTGTACAACCACATTGGACAGCATAGCCTAGCAACCACAATCGGTAAGAGATACGTTTTTTTGTATGACATTTGACTTTAAAACCATAGAGCCATTTTAGTCTCAATCCCTCCTGCTGACGACTACATCAATGCTCCAATTTAACACATTGTACTAAACTGTGTGTCGGTCATGTGTTTGTAGCCTTTCACATTTAGCAGACGCACTTATCTAGGGCGAGTTACAATCAGTGCTTTCAACTAAAGTAGGCAATCAACATAACAACCACATATCACAATGAAAAGCTTCTTACAAAATAGCCTTGCTATCTGCTAGCTAGCGTACTGTACATGCCGGATTCTCTCACAGTGCTGTGTTGTTGTGTACCTCTGCCCTGTAGGGATGCTGTTGGTGTGTGGAGCCCTGGTGAACGGCCCCTACGCCCTCATCACCACCGCTGTGTCTGCTGACCTGGTAAGCATATCCATTCCAGACTGCACCACTTCATCCCTCTAACATGATGAGGTCCTCAGTTCTTCCAAAGTCACACAGAGGAGATAAGCTCCTCATTGCCCTAACTCCCCCACATCCCCTGTTAGTCCAAGGCTCTGTCTTAATGCGTATTTCCTCGATTCCTTGCATTCTGTCTCCCTTGCCTCTTTCTCAAACCGATTCAAGGTCCCTCCTGTCAGACCTTCACCTTCAATGCGTTTTGTGGTGAGGAGAGAGGACGCAAGGAATCGAGGAGACAAATTGGGAAAGAGGACTGAATGTTGGTTCATAATGATGTGTTTTCCTTTCATAGGGGACACATGAGAGCCTGAGGGGAAACTCTAGAGCATTGTCAACGGTCACAGCCATTATTGACGGCACAGGGTCGATAGGTATGTGGGGATTGGTACTAATCTTGATGTTTTAGTTTTGACGCTTGTAATGGTAACTAGTAATGGGTTAGCTGCGCTACGATGCATTTATGTGCGCCTGTGTCAATGCATGAAGGAATGTTTTTATTTAAGGTCACCTATGTTTTGAGATTCACTTCAATGCTCAGTTATTGCAGTGTTATGTGGCAATTTACAAATTGTTTTTATACAGTTTATGTACAAGGTCCATGGCTCATTGCCATACACAATTATTTTCCATTGTAAATTATGTAGTGTTCTAAAGGCAGACTTTTCATGATTGTTGTCCCAAATCAAATTATATACCCAGACCTGCGGCCTTATTTATTAAAGCTGCGTGCGCACAAAAAATACTCTAAACCTTGCGTGCGGCAGTTTTCCCCAAAAGTTGGTATTTATACATTTTGAACTTGATGCGAAGGTGTGTGTATCTCCACGCAAATCTGACTTCTAGTGGTTGATCAATTGTATTGCAAGCAAATATTGTTATTTTGAGGGAAATGGGGGTGTTTGATACATGGGGATTTTAATAATGGTAGGCTAATAAAAACATAACATAGGCCTAATGATAAAATGGATGCATTTCCCGTCGGTAAGGAGATCGCATAGCAGCAGGTAGCCTAATGTGTTTCGTTTACTTTTATTACCGTAAACCTGAATTTAATAGCCTTGGCATTTATTTGCTTAAATCACTGAACACAACAGGCACTTATCAGAGACAGGTTTCTGTTAATGCACACAGCTTTTGCTCATTTGCATAGTTTTTTAATTCCAGCATTCACTTCCAGCATTTTAAGCAATTTCTTCATTTCATGCACTGTGTTATCATTTACACATTGTCGCATTTCTTTTGTCTTAGTATGCCTCTATTTAGAAAGAAAAAAAAAGTTCCTTGACAGAATAATTATTCTCCTCTGACTGCATTTTTGGCAGTTCTTACCTTTCGCCACTAAAGGGTGATCTGACGGTTTCTAGGGGTCTGTACCCCCAAAGTTGTTGACTGTTTTTGTGCTTGACAGTTAGCTAGCAGTTCTCAGCTGTTAGCAGCCAATGGCGTGCAGTTTCTTACTGGCGATAAAAACGGATGATTTTTTTCGAGTCATTACTGAATTATTTAATGTAACAAATCAAACATTAAACGTCGTAAAAAATGTATGGTAATCCATGGTAACCTCGTAAACAATTCATTTAGACCCAGCGTTTTTTGGAATCAGGCGTTTCTTTGCTGAAATGTGTGCCGTTGCCTGGCTATTAAAAGGGCGAGGTGGCTATTTGAGACTGGGCATTTAACTGAAGTTTTACGGTATATAGGCGGCATGCATTTCTTGTTTGAAAAAGTCACTGCAAAACCAAACATTCTGTGCACACCTCTACATAAATGTGATAAAATTTGCCATTGCGCTCTACTTTACAAACTGTCATGGCCCAGTTCCAACATCTCAAAATCATACAGCAAATGAGGGTGTTTTTGTTACCATAAAAGGTGAATGGAGGGCGTTTTCCAGGCGAGCACACAAATATAGTATGGCTCTGATTTATCAAAGAAGACATATATGTTGCGTGCGACAGTTTGATATATCCCAATAATTTGTTGTGCACGCAAATCCTAGAATCGCCAGAATTTAGTGAGACATTTATGCACGGTTGATAAATGTGGCCCCTTGTTTCAGGTGCTCAAGCGTTTGACTGTTATTCTGACTGTCCTGTAGGTGCTGCCCTAGGTCCTCTGTTAGCAGGACTGATTTCTCCGACGGGGTGGAACAATGTCTTCTTCATGCTGATCACTGCTGATATCTTCGCCTGTTTGGTTAGTTTTTATTCTTTATTATATTTATATTAACATGTTTTATAAATCACTGCAATATTTGAGCCACATGTACAAAGAAGGTGCTATACCTGTGGATTGTGTACAACAGCTGTCTCCAACCTTTTTCTACCATGAGAACTACTTTTTTAAATAAAACATGTCGCGAGCTACTCATTTTTTTCTAGCTTTCAAATTTACACAATAAATTACTGGGAGCTTGTACAGTGCATTTGGAAAGTATTCAGACCCCTTGACTTTTTACACATTTTGTTACGTTACAGCCTTATTCTAAAATCGATTAAATAGTTTTTTTCCCTTCATCAATCTACACGTAATACCCAATAATGACAAAGCAAAAACAGGTTTGTAGAAATTTGAGCACCTTTATTAAAAATAAACAGATACCTTATTTACGTAAGTATTCAGACCCTTTGCTATGAGACTCGAAATTGAGCTCAGGTGTATCCTGTTTCCATTGATCGTCCTTGATGTTTCTACAACTTGATTGGAGTCCACCTGTGGTAAATTCAGTTGATTGGACATGATTTGGAAAGGCACACACCTGTCTATATAAGGTCCTACAGTTGACAGTGCTTGTCAGAGTAAAAACCAAGCCATGGGGTCGAAGGAATTGTCCGTAGAGCTCCGAGACACAGATCTGGGGAAGGGTACCAAAACATTTCTGCAGCATTGAAGGTCTTAAATGGAAGAACTCCAATCAAGTTGTAAAAACATCTCAAGGATGATCAATGGAAACAGGATGCACACAAGCTCAATTTCGAGTCTCATAGCAAAGGGTCTGAATACCTATGTAAATAAGGTATTTCTGATTTTAATTTTTAATTATTTTAGCAAAAACTTATAAAAAGCTGTTTTTGCTTTGCCATTATGGGGTATTGTGTGTAGGTTGAGGCCATTTAAAAAAAAAAATCCATTTTAGAATAAGACTGTAACGTAAAAAAAATTGGAGAAAGGGAAGGGGTCTGAATACTTTCAGAATGCACTGTATATTGTGTTATATGTGGAAAATGTTTTTGTTTTTTTATATATGTAAAAACGTATAGATATATTTTTGTAAGCTGTGTTGCGTGTGCTTTCTCCCTGTTTTCCAGCTGCTGTCCAGGCTGGTGTATAAGGAGGTAAGGGGCTGGTGTGGACACAGCCCCAGACAAAGAGGGTGAGCCACTCATGAATACACCACTGGGAATCAGATCACCTATCAGGAAGCCAAAAGCTGCTTTCCTTTTCTTAGGATGAAGAGGCTTCTAAGTGCAATAAATCATAAAATCATACCTTTTTTTTATCTGAGTGAACAAATACTGGCTACTTAAGGGTAAGAAAATGCAATTGAACTTGAGTGTGCACAAAAATGACTAACTTTGTATACAGGTCAAAGCCACAAAACTCAGTATTGCTTTTGTACATTAGCCTGTCCCTAGAGGTTAAGGGTGCTCATTATTCTACTCCAAAGGGGCCTCCAGGCTTCTTATTAATTGGCCATCTTTAAAGTAAATATCCAGTATTTCCAAATTTCTATGAAATATTACCTATAATTAATTACAATATCAGTTAAATAGTTTTCTTCCAAAACATGGTAATTAAGTATGTCAAAAAGCAGCTTTTCTGTTTTGGAATGGTGTGGGCCTACCCCAACAACAGAGTGGTTTGGGCGTATACCGACCATAAAAAATATTCATGCGAGTAGACCGCTGATTGGCCAGCTCATCCTCCTCAGGAGGATGACATCATCCTCAGGAGGATGACATCATCCTCAGGAGGATGACATCATCCTCAGGAGGATGACATCATCCTCTGAGGAAATAGCAAGCATTTTTTAAACGGTCTGTTTGGTACAAGTTTTAGGTGGGTTTTTTTAAGTTATTTTTTTCTCTTTTTCTCCAATTTATACTTTCACCACATACGAGTATAGGATGAATCAACAACAATATTTGGGTATGAGTTAACAGAATATTAACTTTTAAGAGATTTTCATTGGACAGTTACTTTAAGAGAAAAATTGCAGTTGCACCTCAGGCTATTTTTAGAGATCATAAGTAATCAATCACTATCAACCTGGGACAACCTGCGTCTTGAGAGTTCTATATTTCCACCAGGTTCCCATAGGATTTGAGACATGATTGTCTTTGAATGGATGACTTGAGTTGGTCTTAGACGCTCAATCAAATGTTGTGACACAGAATCGGCTCTGTTCACCGAGCACTCAGGCTTCTTTATTCTTGCATAACATCAAGTAACAGTTTCTTGATTAGAAGCACCTTTCCATGTTCTGCAAATCTATATACGCTGGGCAACTGCGATTAACCCTTTGCACTTGTGGGTAATTGGCCTATATGGATAGGGCTAAATTGAATTGTTTCTTACAGAATAAATATTAAAAGCGTATGCATAACCATGGTAGCAATGAAAGGGAACAATTTTGAGATTATGGGAAAATTCTTAGACCAAAGTTGTGAGGACACAACAGTTCATCTGACACAAGACTGAATCCAAACATAAACACTGTTGATTTTATGTGCATTTTACATTTACTGTACTTTTCGCTGCATTTGTTGATAACAAAATCAGAAAATACTCTGGATACATCCAGTCTTCAACTATAAGGGGCTTTTTTGTTCTCCTAGCAGTGCCGTTGAGGGACTAGAGCAACCACACTTGTAGTTGTTTTGTTTGGTACACAACCCTGCATCCCAGCCATAACACAATGACTGTTTACTCATACCAAAAACAGTCCATTATAAATCTCAATCTATGTCAGGTGGGCATAATTTGAAAGTCTGTTCTATTGCCAACATGGCTAGCTAAGTTATAAAATACGATCTTACAGTGTTAGGCTTTCACAATGCAATTCATGGAAACGGATCATAATTTTGGTGCGCATAGAAAGGAGGCATGAGTGCATTCGGGTGCATGTGCTGCGGCGAATCTTCTTCACAATAGACAAACGGGCTCATTTTTGTCAGAACAACCCAGTATATGATGCAATGTCATCTAGTAACTGTACATCAAACATAGTGATCATAAACGTTGAAACTGTATATGACTGAGTTTTATGATATGGAAATATGAAGTGCACCTTTGGACTCACAGGTGTTGGGCTTGCTTGTATGACATCAGTGGTATTTATTATAATCATCAATGTCTCATTTTTAAAAATACATAGTCCTCTTAATTTACAGCATTTTACAGACAACAAGAAATGTGTGCACTCCTGAGTGGCGCAGTGGTCTAAGGCACTGCATCGCAGTGCTAACTGTGCCACTAGAGATCCTGGTTCGAATCCAGGCTCTGTCGCAGCCGGCCGCGACCGGGAGACTCATGGGCGGCGCACAATTGGCCCAGCGTCGTCCAGGGTAGGGGAGGGAATGGCCGGCAGGGATGTAGCTCAGTTGATAGAGCATGGCGTTTGCAACGCCAGGGTTGTGGGTTCAATTCCCACGGGGGGCCAGTATAAAAAAAAAAAATATGTATTCACTAACTGTAAGTCGCTCTGGATAAGAGCGTCTGCTAAATGACTAAAAATGTAAAATGTAAATGTGCAAAAGTTGGCCAATTAGAAGCAGGGATGTGGGCAATGTCTTGTCGCGCGAGGTGCTCAAGTTCAGAACGGCGGTTAGTCAAAACCCATACAGCACTGTGAAGCGCAGAGACAGAGCTCGGATGTTATGTATAGTGTGATACTGTACAGCCACTTCGTTCCAATTTAGGCGTTTATCAGCGCCCAAATCTGCCATTTTTAACCCTTATACAGGTACGAGTGTAAAGGGTTAAGAGCCATTATGACATCATGTTTAACATGTCATTGTAGGTGGTTTTGGAAACTATAACAGTACTACATTACCCATAATGCACTGTGTAACATGTCCGGTTTTATCATAATGCAGTTACACTGCAGTACAAGGTGTCTCTCTGAGCTACATAACAGTGTCGAAGGTAAAAGAAAGCTGTATCCACCCCCAATATCCGCCGACCACTCTCATGCTGTCCCGTTTATCCCAAGTCCCAAACTAACCCTCACATCCTGTCATATAATGCTGCCTTCAAATAATGCTGTCAAATAAAGCAATGCTCCATCCCCAACAACAATTATGCACCTCGTGGCTCTATGCTGCCCCCCATTTATTCCACTTCCCAAACTAACTCCATAGCATTAGCCTCTCCCAGCGAAGTTGAGAACGGGCTAGGGACAGTGTTTATTGCAAACTTTTCCAGAGAGGATACTCAGTTGAATATTCTGTGGTGGTTGCTTCTCCTCCAGTCCTCAAATATGAAATTACATTGAATTTATCAGATCCAATGATCTGGTGCTTATGTTAATGACCGGAATAGGTTTGCATTTGGTCCATTCTGAAACGGGCTAATCTCGCCTTGTGTTGTCAGGTTTAAAGAAATCTGAGTGGCTGCCTGGGACAAGAGACCGTATCACACCTGCAAGGAAGGACGCAGGAAAAAGAACCAAGGACTAATCCCTGAGGCGCACCGCAATTCATACGGTGCCGGTCCTTTCATCCTTCAGGCTTAATGGACTCAGACCCCATCACCAGCGGGTGAAATTAGCTGAAAAAGGAGGAAGGGGACATTTTATATTTTGGGACCATCTGACGGAGAGAGAACATGTCCCTGCTTCAAATGGTCGCAAAGCTCTTTCTCTCTTATACCTTTTTATTATTATTTTGTATGTTTATTTTTTTTCTTCACTCTTATAGCCCCTCTCGGTGCTGTGTGCATCTTTCATCTTAGTATTAAAATGATGTGCATTTCCCCAATCTCGCCTCCATGGTTACTAACAGTTAAAATCACGTGCCAGTATTGGGCAAGCTAAATTGGGCACGCTTGTTTTGCATAGCTGGAGAACGCCGAACTACATAAGCAGCGAAGGAGGAGTTTGCAGTTGTAGTCAATTGCTGTGGCGGCAAATGTCGTCACTAACTAAACCAGTACAGATAAGGAAAAATTGTCTGACAGATCAAAAAAGAAAGAATCATTTCTCAGACAGCACCATCACATCCTTCTATTTGTCTCTGATGCAAATGGTTGTTGAAATGTTTGTTGATCAATGATTAGAAATTAGTTTGTATCAACCACATGCGTTTCATTGTTGTTTTGTTTTTGACTCCACCCCTCATAGCGGGCCTCGCAAATTTTGATCGGGGTGTGGTGATACTGATGGTTTGTCGGGACTGATGGTTTCTACGGTTGTGGCCAGCTACGGACAGAAGTGACTTTACGCAGCAGGTTAGGAGAACTTATGCAGCAGGTTAGGAGAACTTACGCAGCAGGTTAGGAGAACTAACGCAGCAGGTTAGGAGTATTAACATAGCAGGTTAGGAGAATGAGGTTAAGGTTAGGAAAAGGGTTAGGGTTAGGCTCAGCTAAAATGCTAGAGTTGTCAAGACCTCTTTTCCCAGACGCAACAACCACAACCGTAGAAACCATCAGTCCCAACAAACCATCATTATCATAACTGGAGCGTTTGACTTTTGTCCCCGGGCTCCTAAATTGCAAGTTGAGTGCTACAGATGTAAGCTCTTAATCTGATCACCCTGTTGTAGGATAACTTTTTACTGGGCCATGCAAAACATGCTCACTCAATGTTTTCACGTGACTGATTTGTAAACGCATCCGTTTCAATGGCACATGACAACTATTCCCTCTGACCAACAACAGGCAGGTGACCAGTGTCCACTTGAGACAGTTGTTTTCTTTTCTTCAATGAATTGGACTTCCATTCCTTTTGATCTACATTTCACGTGTCCCATGTTATTAAGGTGATGATTTTACTTCAGGGACCTTCTGCTTTGTTGTAGGGAGAGGCGTTGCTATAGGTGGTGGAAAATACATTTTGAATTGAGGGAAAGGGATGCAGTTACCGGTAGTTGTAATGCCCCAGAAGATGTCATGACATGCATAAGTTTATGCAGAGGGCAGGCTGTATTATGTTGTTGAGGGATTCTTGAAAGTCGGGACAATCCTTGTCCGGCAGGCAAACTGAAAATGTTTTGATTTTGTTGCATTATTTGAGCATAAAAATTAAATTTAGGGGAATTTTATAAGGGAAAAAATACTTTAAATATTGTTAATTTCCATGTCGGCTCTATGCCTGAAAATGCCCTTGTCCGGGGCAAAGGATCCCAATTTCAAGCGCTCCAAAAAGTGT